TATATATATATATATATACTCATATTCACGTGTATAGTATCCAGGTCACTGGATGTTACATTCGATTTAGGCTACTTTGAGGTTTTTATTGTTGTTGTTTGTCATTGAAACTCAGTCTCAATTAAAATGCTCAGGGAGATGATAATAATCTGTGTTGGTTTGAGTTTACTTGGTTTTGCAAAAATAGAGAAAAATCAGAGAAAAAGACGAAATGTATAAAGAATGCCATGTACAGAAAACACTAACATGCCTGAAGATGAAAAGTAAAAAGTATAGCAAAGTAAACAAGTTTTGAGTTTAAAGGCTTCGTCTCTATTCACTGTCTGTCTAACTGGATAATCTAAGTCTACGTCTAGCAAAGACAGAACACTGTTCAATAACAGTGAACAAATAACAGTGAATTGTATAGGTTTTCTATCAAGTAATGCAGCAAAGACACTTGGAGCTGTCTTTTGGTGACCAGGTCTATGAATATAATTAACTGGTCCTCAAGAGTTATTTGGTCTCACAAACCAAACAATCCATACATTAATCAAATGCCCTGCTGCCTGACTGTAACTTTTTATCCATTTTATCTGCCACTTATCCAAGGCCAGTCATGGGGGTAGCAGTCACCTCTTCCAGGGATACAGGCATTCCCGGGTCAGCCAAGAGATGTAATCTCTGCAGCGTGTCCCGGGTCTGCCACGGGGCCTCCTACTAGTAGGACATGACTGAAACACCTGACTCAGGAGGCACCCAGTAGGCATCCTTGCCAGAAGCCTGACTCTCCTTTCAATGTGTAGCTATAGCGGCTCTACTCTGTGCCACTTTCAGATGGCTGAGCTCCTTATGCAATCTCTAAGGAAGCAGCCAGCTACCCTCCAAAGAAAGCTCATTTTGGCTGCTTGTATCTGCGATCTCAATCTTTCGGTCACTACCCAGAGTTCGTGACCATAGGTGATGGTACGTAGATCCACTGGTAAATCTGGAGCTTTGTTTTCATGCTCAGCACTTTCACCATGATGAACCGGTGCACTGTCTACATGTACAGCCGTGACCTCAATCCATCTGTCAATCTCACTCTCTCCTCTCCCCTCACTCATGAACAAGACCCAAAGGTCGCTCCACCAGCAACAAGCACCCCCCACAGGATACTCTAATGGACCCAACTGAATGCTTTCTCCAGGTCTACAAAACACATGTAGGCTAGTTGGGCAAGGTATTATCACCACAACAGGCACCAACCACCCTGCAGCTACAGTTCCTTGCAGCAGGCTCAGCAAAGGAGGATGAATGGACCATGTTCCCCAGCTTCTCTCAATGCTGTTGAAAATCTGCTAGAGGTGAGAGTTGAAGAGCTCATGGACGGGGGCCTCTGCTAAATATTCCCAACACACCCTCACAATATATTTGTGTGTGCCAGGTCTGTCCAGGGTTCTGCTCTGCCACCTGATCCAACTCACCACCAGGTGGTGAGAAGTTGACAGCTAAGCTCCTCTCTTCACCCAAGTGTCCAGAAAATGTGGCTGCAGATCCAATGATATGATTGCAAAATATCTCTTTTTTATGTTAGGCCAATAGGCTGCTTCCTTGGACAAAAATGTATTTTTTGGCGTTTTCAGTAGGAGAAACGTTTCCTCAGGTTTCCCCAACCTTATAAACAGTACATCTGTATAATGACTGAAACGTGCACCATTGACTAACAATGGGCCATGAGGTCGGTTTCATGATCAATAATATGAAGATTGGGATGACCATTAATCAGGGGCCATGAGTACCATTCAGATTGTTGAGGAATGGCTGCAATAACAGAATGTAAGATCTACCCTTACATCTATATTTATACTTATATAAAAACAGCTTTAAGGAGTCATTGATATTGCATTTATGGTTAGATTTAGCTTTATGAATTTTGTGCACATAATTTAGAAAGTATTTTGGAACCTTCCTAGCCTCCTCACCCAGCCATTAAAGAGTTGATTACATGTTTTTTGTTTTGGATTGTGGAGAATTGGTAGTAGTTAGCCAAGTCTTTGCATGTTAACATGCACTAATATGAATGCTTTTGTTTTACTGTATGCTTGTTTGTCTGTTTGTGTTTGCATCCTCTGCAGTGTTGTTTACCAGGATGGATTTTATGGTGCAGATATTTATGTAAGTATTATTTACTGGTATGATACTGCATGCTGTTGCCATCTCTGTAGTTTCTCACAAGTTGCTATGTACATGAAAGTCCCTGAAATCTCCATGCTCATTCCCAAGTTCAGCATTAGTTTAAGGTGTAGAAAGGTTTCCATGTCTCAGCTCCAAGAAAACAACTATAGGATTACAGAATATATTTATTGTTCACACGAGTCATTTTCAGTAACAAATTAAAACATAGTTGTCAAAACAGGGGTGTGGGGTGTGTCTGTATGTGTGTGTCAGGGGGAGGTGGTGGTGGTGTGTGTGTGTGTGTGTGATTTGAATCTGGTGTTTTTGTGTCTAAATCCATAAAGTATGACACAGTACGTATGAATCATATTAGGGTTGGGTGAGGTCCAGCTCTTCATGCTTCAGACTTATTTTGGATGTCTGCCATTGTGATTTTTTTATACAGTTCCCCACTTGGCCTGTGGGCAGTCTTTATCCTTTAAGTTCAAGCCTCTAACACAGGCTTGAGAGCATAAGGGTCCTACACAGTAGTCTTTGCTGTTCCTAGGACCTGAACTAGTACTGTCTGGACAGAGATCTCGAATGGGATCTCCTGGAGCCACTCACCAAGTTTGAGGGTCACCGCCTCAAGTGCTTCAATTACCACAGAAACCACTGCTGCTTCACGCTCCATATATTTTGATTGATTGATTGATTGATTGATCATACTTTATTCATCCCGAGGGAAATTGGGTTAAGGCTGCCAGCCGTGCCAGCGCCATCTTACCCTTCCGACCATACATACATTACACAAACATCACATGGGGAAGACAGGTCAGAGAGGTATAACAATGGAAAATACACAACAACTGATCTCCCCAACAGGGAGATCAGTTTGAGAACAGAAAAAAAAACCCCACCTTAGCGCATACAAAAAGCACATGACTGTTAATACACCATAGAAACACAAGACAAGCAACAGGGGCGGGTAAAGGGTAATAGAGAGCCGGTGTAGACAGCGCATCCGGTCCTGCAGCATGTCTGCGCTGGTCCAATTGACCGCCATTTTCCCCGGGAGGGGACAAGCATCGAAGGCGTTTGGAAAGGGAGGGGGATGAGTGTGTATCAGTGTATGTGTGTGTGTGTCCAGAGTTCAGCTGAGACAGTGTCCTTCGCCCTGCCAGGCTAAGTAAACAGTCTTCCAGCCAACCCAGGTGGCCTTCCATAGGGGAGGAACAGTCTGAGCACAGTCTGTTATCAGGGTGTTTTTGTTCAGCTCCAGCCTCGAGATCACAGCTGGTGCCGAAGTGGTAGCCGACTGAAGTGATGGTGGTTTTTACTTTAGTGCGAACAACTCATCTGAATTTCAAAGCTGTATTAACAGTCCGACACTGGTCTTTCAATCTCCCGTTGGAAAGCTGTGAGCTTCTACGGGTAATCCAATTTGCGCTCAGAGGTCTTATTCTGAGTGTTTACGGCAGCCGCAAGCTTCTCCAAGATCTTATCCGTGCTGCGCTCAATGAGCCCATTTTGAGAACTCACGCCTCGTCCCATAGTTTCAATCGCAGTGGGCAGCCTTGTGGGGGTTTGAACAGCCAGTTCGGCTTTCTTAATTCTTCGATAAGCCAGGGCCAAGCCAGCTCCGATCAGCAAGAACCCTGTTATCATGGTTCTGAATAGATAGATATCTTCAGCATCTTCGATCGACAGTCCCGCCAGGCACACGACCCTCCAGCTATGCCACCTGTCCATCGTCTATCCGGCAGGGAAAGTACCTCCAGGACACTCAGGCTCAACCGAGCCCAGACTTCTCGTTGAGAAAAGGTTGTCAATTGCATTCAGGGACCAGTTGATCAAATCCATAATTCCTCTTTTAGGTTTTAGACACAGACTGTGAGAGAGTGTTCTCAAAGTAATACAAAAAACACGAGACTAGGAGTCACGTGGGACCGCTGAGGAAGATGGCCGCACACTAGAGGCGCTCCTAAAGCCTGTTGATTAATGTTCTGAATCTGGAAACATACACTCCAGTTGTAGTCATAAATTGGACACTCCTTTGTCGACTTTGAAGTTTTTCAAGAATTACCGTCTTTGGAAAATGGCAGGAAATAACAAAGCAAACTTTTTTAAGGGAGCTACCACGAGGAAGAAGCAAGCTAGCATTAGCCTTGCTCCGGAGCCGCCGGAAAATACACCTGCATCTGATGCCGCCTCTCCAGCAGTAGTGGAGGAATGTATGGGGAGCGAGAGCAAAAAGGACATTTTTGACGAAATTAAGAAAATGAATGCTACTCTTCAGGTCGTAGCAAAAGATGTCACCACTATTAAAGAAGCCACTAAAGAACTAAAAGATTCGGTGGAAGATATAAAAGTGAGGTTAGGAGAGGCGGAACAACGCATCTCAGACATGGAAGATGCCAGCGTGCTCACCGAGGCAAAAGTGGACAAATTCCAGAAAAGGATGGCGGCGTTGTGGTCACGAGTGGAGGACCTTGAAAACCGTAGTAGGAGAAACAATGTGCGGATTATTGGACTTAAAGAAGGTGTGGAGACACCCGGAAACGTGGACAAATATGTGACGGAGATTCTGGCCAAAGCACTTGAGCTTTCTGGAAGTGAATTTGAAATTGAACGTGCGCATCGTTCCCCTGTACCAATGCCGGAATCTAACGAGCCTCCCAGGGTGATACATGTCCGTTTTCTACGTTCATCTGCTAGGGAGAAAGTACTACGGGTGGCCAGAGAGAAGCGCGGAGTCGATTGGCAAGGCGCCAAGCTTTCCTTCTTTGAAGATGTTACAAGGGAGCTGGCGGAGAAGAGGAAGGCATTCAACCCGGTGAAGAAGCGTCTCCGAGAGTTACAAGTGAAGCATAGGCTGATGTATCCTGCAACGCTCATTTTTACGTGGAACGGACAAAAGAAAGCATTCAAAGACGGAAAGGAGGCCGAGAAATTTCTGCAGGAGTCGACTTAGAGGAATGCGGGACATGATGTAGCAGATCGGAGAAGTGTATGTAAATTTTAAAATAAGGTAACAAATAAACAATGGGCACAACGGGGCTGCGGCGGCTGTGCTGCTGTCGGACGATTAGCGTGTCTCACGGACCAAGGACAGTTTGGTGTCTCAAGCTAAAGTTAGTTAGGCTTGGGTAGGTGGGGAGGGAGGGGGCGCTTAGCAACGTTGTTCTGGGTTGTTATGCAAAGAAGGGTGTTCGTTTTGTTCAGGTTTGTTTTTTTGTTTTTTGTTTTTTTTATTTTTGTTTTTTTAAAGACAGCTAGTTTGATAGGACCAGATGGGTTTTGTAATATTGAGTGCCTATGTATATATTTGTGTTGTGTTGTAAAGCGCGCAAGGTGTGCCTTACCCCATTTCTATTAGAAGGCGATGAACAGGTATACTAAAATAATATCGTGGAACATAAAAGGATGTGGGGACCCAATTAAAAGGAGGAAGGTTCTAACATACTTAAAAACTAAAAACACAGATATAGCGTTTATTCAGGAATCCCACATTGCTGGGGAAGAAGAGGCAAAAAAGTTTAAACGAGACTGGGTGGGCTCCGTTTTTCATAGTTCGTATTCAAGTAAACGAAATGGTGTTTTGATCCTTATTAATAAAAAATTAAGCTTCGTGTTGCTGAAAAAATATAATGATAAAGAAGGGCGCATTATATGCTTGGAAGCCTTAATTAATGGGGTTCGAACAGTTTTGTGTAATATTTATGCACCTAATAAAGAAGAGCCAGATTTTTTTCACAGAATTAACAAGATAATAGGGGATCATGAGGGGCAGGTAATA